GCGAATTTCCCTGGAAGAATGGTTTAATACCCAGTGGTTTCTCCAAACTACCATAAAACCCAAACCTTTTCTAGTTATTTGAAGCTCAGGAAAATATTTGCTATACGATTAATGAAATTTCGACTTTCTAGACATAGTCTTCCCAGTTTAAAATGGTTTTTATGATAGGTCCATTGTGTCGAAGTTGGCGATGGGGACAATGAAGTCAATCCCTAGCCATAAATAAGAACGTGGCCGCTTTCTTTGCAAGGCCGTACTTTGTTATTTAACTCATATTGTCCATCGTGGAGTAATAACGAGGTGATAACGTTTAGTATCTTGTCATAAAAACCACTTAAAATTAGGACTACAATAAATGCCGATAGAATGACAATTTTTTTTTTTCAAATTAGAACAAAAATTGATAAAAATGCAAAATATGCACCCGATACCTGAAATATGCAGCAGAAGGAAAATATATGCAAATATGCAATTTTTTTATAGCTGTATTCATTTTTAATTAGCATGATTCGTTCACATATTAAATATCAAAACTTATATGCAAAAAATAATGGATATGCAAATTTCATAAAATCCGCTCTCTAATAATTAGCCTTACGGACCCATACAATTCCCTCAACTCCATTTTATTCTTGGTTGTTTCTTAAACTCCTGGCGGCTCCTTGTCAAAGATCTTTTCCCACTGTCTCAATCCATTTTGTTGTGGGTCTGCCTCGTCGTCTCCTCCCAGTAATACCTCCCGTTAGTCCTTCCTTTATGACTTTTTCTTGGGGTAGCGTTTGTTATTCTTTCGAGTCATTTCTTCCTCCTTATTTTTCCCAAAGTTTTTCATGAGTACTCTGTTCCTTCCCAAACTCCAAGTTTTTCTTTTTCTTTTGATTTAGCCCCTACAATTCATTTCCGTACAGAACAACTGGTTTTATTATCGTCTTATAATACATGTTTAATTTTACTTTATTTGAGATTTTCTTCGATGTTAGCATATAACTGAAAGCTGACACTTTGTGCCATTTTGTTATTCTTTTCTGCATTTATTTTCCTTCCTCAAACACCACAAAATGGACACAAGTTCTACCCTAGAGTAGAAAATCTTACCAACATTCAATTTAATCAGAATGAGGTGGCACTACTAAATAAAGGAGTAAAATACGAAAACCACAACAAGAACAACATTGTCAAATTATCCTTAGATGCTATTTGCGCTATACAAAAATAGGCACAGAACTCTATGCAGAACAGTACTATTTAGTTGTGCACCGAGTTCTTATTAACCTTAAGGAGTTAAAGAAGAAACATGGAAAAACTAAGGAACAACAAATTTTAGACAATATCAGAAAGAAATTCCAAGAAAATAACCTCATAATAGTCAAAGCAGATAAAGAGCAAACCATCACCATAATGAAAAAAAGCATGTACATCGATAAAGTGAAAACCTTCAGAACAAAACAAGGCTTCAAAAAGATAAAAAACAACCCACTAAACAATTACACGACAAAAATCAAAAAGGTTATCAATAAATGCAAAGCCACGATAAAAGAACTAAATCGAAGCAAATTTTTCGTCCCAATGAACTTAAAAATGCCAAAACCCTTTAGACAACCAAATATCATAAAGTGGGAACAACCATTCGTCCAATAGTCTCAAGCATTGATAGCCCAGCACACAATCTGAGCAAATCGATAAATGGCATACTGAGAAATGTAACAAAAATCAAACCTAAGCATGTAATAAACAACAGAGAAGAATTGATCAATAATTTAAAGGACTTTAATCTAACAAATTAAAGCAACCTTGTATCATTTGACGTCACAAACCTATGTAACCAAATCCCAATTGAAGAAACTCTAAAATTGCTTGAAAAAGAACTTAAACCTAGCAATCTCAACCAAAACCAACAAAAGGATATATTAGAGTTGGCAGAAATATCTACAAAACAATTTGTTTTTTCAATTTAATGATAACTACACAATATATAGGAGTGGATAGCTCAAGTATGGGATCCCCCCTAGACCCAGTCTTAGCGGACATATTCATGGATAAGTTCGAACAAAACATCTTTTATAAACTACAGAAGCAAAAAAAATCAGTGTTTGGTTTAGAAACTTTGATGATATAATCACTGAATGGAACAGTACAGACGATCAACTATTAAAATTCCAGCAACAACAGAACAACATCCACCAAATACTACAGTTCACTACAGAAATAGGACAACGAAATAAAATAAATTTCCTTGATCTCACACCAGAAAGAAATAGCTAACAAATAGAGTTCAAAGTCTACAGGAAAAGCACACACAGAGATACAGTGATTCCTGATCCACAACAGCTCAAATCATCGACCTTCACAAAAACCAGTAGCATTTCATGCCTTCATCGATAGATTAATTAAAGTCACACTAAAGGAAGAAGAAATAATCAGAAAACAACAAATTCTTAAACAAATAGCACATAATAATGGATATAAACCGGACATAATTGAAAAAATCATCACCAAAAAAACAAATCAACGGAAGAAAAAGGAAAACAAAGAGGAATCAAACTCCAACAATAACATTTCACAGCAGTCCAAGCCACAATACATAAGTATCCCATACATCGGAAACACACGAAAATTGAAAGAATACTAAAACAAAACAATCTGTACGTTGCTTTCAAAAGTGAAAACAAACTACAACAGTTAGCTAACAACAAAGATAAATTCAAGAAAATGGATAACAACGGAGAATATAAACTTAAGTGCAACAAATGTGACGTATGCTATGTAGGTGAAACAGGACGTGTCCTAAAAATAAGGATCAAGGAATACACAACCGAAACAAAATATTCAGTGTTCCATAACCATATCATCGAACAAAATAACGACATTGACTTGGGGAACACAAAATTGATCGACATTCAAAATAAAGGGATAAAACTCAACCTCCTAGAAGCCTTGGAAATCTATAAGTCAAAAAAGAAAAAGCAAAACTACTTAAGGAACAAGACGATTTGAAATTCGCACCAATTCTCAAACTCCTCATCTAACGTAATCATTCAAAAATCATTAACTAAAATGTAGGGTGTTCTATGTACAACTTTAGAAGGAAAACGCAAAAAATCTTCGAATGTATTTTGTTAATCAATTTCAACAATTAATTTTATGTAATAGGACATATGTAAGTAATTTAGATAACCAATAATTTAAGAACATACACACATTGTAGAAAGAAAAATATCTAACAACTGTAAAATCCACGTAAAAATAGTTAGGTTGGGAACACACAAATTATTATAGTGACGGTAGGTTAATTTCACATGTTTTTCAATAAAAAGTGAAGAACAAGAGATAACCTCTAAATTAACCTTCACGCCAAAAACACAAAATATATTCTCGTACCACATCTTTTGGTGTGACGCGTGTTTACTACTTGTACTCATTTTAATAGAAAAATATGAAAACATCAAGTTTTTTCAGTTTTCAACCTATTATAAGATCGCAAAAATCTCGAAAAATATATTCGTTTCTGTTAAGGGGGGACGTATTAAAAGGGCAAATAAAAAGCTTAACTGCACAACATGGATATATTGAGTAATAACAACACGTCTTTACCGCACGGTGGTCACTCACGTCGGCGATCCGGGACTCGCACATGCGCTCAAGAAGGCGCTAGCGCTGTCTTCACCAACAGTTTCAAAGAAATCAATTTCATCAAATAAAATTAGTAACAGTATACATCCTATCCATATTAAGTGTTTCGGTTAATTACTAAAGGAATTCACTGGCTCATTTTTGTACTGTGGGGACTGGGCGTCCCAAACTGGAAAAATATAACTGCCTTCTAGGAGTGCATTTACTGTCTTCACAGGATTAAGTTTAATTTCACTAAATATTTATTGTATTTGAATTTGAGAGGATAATTTTATTGCTTCTTCGAATTTTTAGTTTACCTACGCCGAGATTCCATTGGGTTCTCGGACAAAAACCATCCATGTGGAATAATAGTATATTATACGCCAAGGTAGTGAAAACAATCATTATAGACCGAACGCGGATTAGAGCACGAGGTCTATAATGGTCTTCACTACCGTGGCGTATATAGGTACTATTTTTTTCACTAGTAGCCCAGTACAAAACACAGATTTGAAAAATTTTCAATTTATTCAAAGTAACATAACATCAACTGACATCCCCTAACTAGGTTCTGATGTTTTCCATCGTTATTCTCCGACGTTTGCAAAGTTGATTTGTAATGAAGTTTGTAATTTCAAATAGTCAATTAATTTAAGTTATTTTTACTAGGAAATATGTCAGACAGTAAACTATGTACCCCTCCTGAGATGCTGTTTGGCTGTTAGCACTTTTATATTCCTCGTGAAAATAATGTGAAAAATCCGTTAGTAATGGCCAATTTTCGATTGTCAAACATTACATAACCTCAATCTTTATTATAGACCTTGGTCAATAATAACTTCACTTCTATTATTACCCTTGGTCAAATTTAATTATCATTATTGACTTTGGTAGAGAAAAACGAATTTACAACTAGCAGATAAGAATTGATAATGGTGCAGGTCTATGCTACTAGCGAAAAAAATTAATTTATCAGGGTAGGGGAATGATAACAGCGATTAATATAAAAGCTGGAATTTTCAAAATTAAAACATTTTACATGTTTTAGTGATGTTGTTCTCATGCTCTTCAGCTCAAATTGATATTTAATTATATTTGCAATAGACCTGAACGTCATACAAGTTCATAAAAACATTTGACAGTTCTTTGAAAAATAGTCCTACTTAAGCGTCTTCATAAATCTCATTCAGATTGTTTGAGGGGTTTCGATAAGTTAAACATATTTACCTTTTGATACAAATTGAATCTTTAAATTTAGATAAAGTCAAAACTAAATTTACCTAAAAGTTTTCGTTCTGAGCAAAAAGTTCATCTCACGTAGCATTTTAATTGTAAACTTAACCGACAGGATTTAGTTTTTGTCAGTGGGATTAGAATAAAATATAATATTATACTTAAAATATTTATATATATAGATACATATTTACAACTAACAATATTACACAATTTTACATTCTATTAAGTTTTTTTTTTAATAAAAATTATTATTCATGAAAATAATAATCTTTAACAGTCTTAAAAAATTTAAATATTGGAAAAAAATTACAACAATTTAGTTTATCTTTCATAAATATATTAATACCTTTGTTTCTTTGAAATTACATATATTAACAATACATTAATCTTGTATGCAGTTCGTCGAAAATGTCATGAATGGTGATGGTCATAAAACTTAGACTTGGCTTTGGCATTTGTTTCTGAAAAACAGAGAATTAATATCTCTTGGAGTGAAACTACAAAACGCGTTTACGATATTTCTTTTGTCTTCGTATGGTGCCATTTGATGTAGAAATTTTAGGAGTGTGTTTGGGACCCGTGTGGTTCATTTTAGTTTGTTGTTCTAAAAATAAGAATATTGTATGTAAGTATTCATAAAATTTTTGTGTGTACCTTTAGCTTTTTCTAATTGACTCCACAGGATATTTTCTATTGTGTCCGTCCAGTCGTTTTTAACTTTGGGGGATTCTCCTTGTAAAATAAACGTAGCATCTGAGTGGCTTTTTTTCGATTTAGTATAATTTGTCAGATTAAATACATTTGGTTTCTCTTCGCACTTTCCCAAACTTAGATCACTCAATGCAATGCTTTCGTAATACTTAAAATGTTCTGCAGTTTTCTGAAATGTAATAACATGGAGTTAAGTGGTGAATTAAATTCATCATCAACAGTAACTTATGTCTTTTAATAGTTTTTTGATTAAGTATTTTTCAAAAAGATGTTTTTGGTGTACATTTTAGGTAGCAACGAAACAATATTGTAGGCTCTGCTGGAACAACAGTTATGGTGATATAGAATTTTCAAAGATACACAAAAAATTTGGTTTCAGCATTGTTCCCTAAAATACCACTAATATTGTACTTTTATTAAAAATGATTTATGCCTGACTAAAAAGACATTGTTCTTAAAAATAGTCTCCATTGTAATGGAATAATTAAACAGAGACAACAACATTTAAGTGATAGATTTGCAATCAAAACTTAAACCTCGAAACTAGCTTGTACTTTACATACATTATTGTGTTTTAATTCCTTAATTTAATCACAAATATTGTTCCTTGCAATTTTAAGTAAAATTGTGTTAATTCATGTTTCATGTGTGTAATAAACACACAAAAATTTTGCTATCCTATCTATAACGTGGATTACGTTCCCAATATGTTAAAATAACTAATTTGATGCAGATAAGCAAATCAGACGGTATGAGCAACAAAATTTTAAACAAGGGGAGCTGTAATCAGCGCGCGTAAAGGCGGAATTCCACAACAGGCAACACTAGGCAACAAGTATCAAGCAACATGTCGTTCAGTGTTGCCTCAGTGGAATTCCGGCTTAAGACATGATAGAGAGCTAATGTTTATTGGTAAGAAAAAAGATAAGTTTGCATGTATCAAGCACCTCATCTCCCTTTGTTTAAAATCTTGTTGTTCGTATGGCATATAGGTACTTACTGAGGCTTTTTCAGTAAATACAATTATATTTTGGAATAGAAACACCATAGATTGAAATTTTCTTGGTTTTAGAATCATAAATGTGCCTCTCATTATAAACGATCCTTTTCCTGTCAAATCAACTGGACTGTCCTTTATAGAATCTATTGCAATAAAATCATTTCCTTTTCGCATTACACTTCTTACAAAGTCAATTGCCTTAGTTGCTGTTTCCACAGGTTTATTGGATTTCTTTAACTCCTTTTGAATTGTTTCCAACAATATTACATATTTTCCTAGTCTCTGTATAGGAGTGAGTAAGAAGCTTGCCAACCCTAATTTATCACCTAGTTGTTTTTGTCGAATCTAAAAAATAAAGAAATAAAAAACTGGAACAAATATTCGTACCGTTTTGAAAAAGAGGCATGACATTCAGCGCATATTTGTCGATGCGTTTCTTCGACAACTATGTTGTCATTATCTAAACAAAGCTAAACTAAAGTTAAATTACAACTCGACGCTTATTTATACCCCAACTAGGACTCCTCCCAGGACACCATGATGGAATCTAGTTGTAATTGAACTTCAGGTTATCTTTGTCTAGATAATGCCAACATGGTTGGCGAAACGCACCGAATGATCAAAAAAATTCAATTAAAAAAATAAGTGTATAAATGCATCAAAATCTGGTTTTACTTGTAGTTATGTAGCGGTTTATTATACAATAAACGCAGAACTTGAAGTACGTGTGAATAAGAGTTTTTCATACAAGGCTTGTCAAATGCGAAAGTATCACGAATGTTATGATGAATATGAAAATAAACAATTATTGCTCCTCTTACATTTTTAATAATTTCTGAAAAAATGTGGATCAGAGTAACAACAATGAGTATTTTTGTTTGTTCTGACTAGGGCGTATTCAGAATACTTATTCAAATCACTTATGCCAATTTTAGTAACAATAACACACTTAGAACAACTATTTTTTATTACAGGAAGATGTAATAACTACAATAAGAGGTACAGTTTCACTTGTGAATTCCTAATAATTTTCCTTACTTTTTCAACACTTAATCACAAATAGGAGTAACAAAATATGCATACCTTAATAACTTCTTCAAACTGTTTGAAGTATATGTCCGCCGTGGGTTTGTTTTTTGAATACAAAGGATACAGTTCAAACATAGAAGCCTGCAAAAAAATACGTGTAAAATTTAAAATTAAAATAACAAGTTTCACATATTACTGCATCTGTATGCAGTCAAAGCTCATGAAGTGTGAGCAAATAACCCCATTTACTTTAGACAGTGCATCTTTTTTAAAAGTGGCCATGTTAAATATTAGACCCCACGTTAACTTTTGTTAGGGTGAAAACTCAGAAATGATTTTGACGGTGGAAATAGCCCAAGTGTTCTACTTTCATTTCCATTACCACTTTTTGCAGTAAATTGTTAATTTCTGCTTTAAAAAGTAAACATTATTTTGGTTACAAAGTTTAGGTACATCATAGGAGGTTTTGACTTATCATGTTGAATTATCATTTTTGACAGCATAATTTTAATTTAATTATTAAACACATTTGCTGCAGTATTTAGAAAAGAAGCGGAGTGATGGAATTCAAACATAAATGAAGAAAATAAAAGATAATTTAACTGAAATTGCGTTTTTGATGTCCAAGATCGGGATGACCTATTTTTTTAAATATGTTATAAAATGTTTGAATTCTGCCTTTGCCGAGTATGGGACGATGTGAAAATGCTGCAGCAGAATTTTGCGCAATTTTTCCGGTCGATAAGCCTTTAATGTATCCAGTGACCATTTCTGCTTTTTCTTTAACTGTGTACTGCCTCATGTTGACGAATTCCGGTCAGTAAAAATGGTAAAAACCGGTAAAAAAACGAGTATTCAAATTTTAGAAATGTCACGTAAATGTCTATTTTTACATGGCTGCCTACAATATTAATGGCAAAAATACCCAAATAATTTAATTTTTTTTTAAAGAAAAGTCGTTTAATTTAAAATATAATCTTTAATTAAATCGACAAAAGATGAGGCAAATTTCATCCAGTTAACTAAAAATTTCAACCCTGACTCTTTACTCAAACTTAAGTTAACATGGGGTATGAAATTTAACATTGAAATCCCTATGGCCATTTTTAAAAAAAGATGCACTGTATATTCCAGTAGTCATGAAAATCAGTGGAGAAGTCTCGTTTGTCTACTAAATAAGGAATGTCCATTCTGGCAGCTGGGGTTAAGGCTTTAAAAAAATTATCATTTATATAATGCAAGAGGTCTATCATTTGAAATGAATGTTGTGAAGAAAAAATATTATATAAATATTATTGTTACACCCCTACAATCGTTAATTGAATAATAAAGTGTAGATTTTTTTATATTTTCGTTTTTTTCAACACTGGTGAAATTTAAATGTAGTTAAAGGTAAATAATTCCGATAAACAATTCTAATTGCCAGAACAAAATTTTGTGACCAAAGAGGGCAAAGAATCTTTGAGCATTTGCGGTTAGTTATTCTTCCCGATACCAGCTGCCAGAGTGGACATTCAACTACTGAAAATACAAATTAAGGCGGTCGTTAGCTCTTAGTTTTAAAGGAACAGTGACAGAGAGTCGACCGACGGACTCAATGATCGATTACAAATTTCCTTCGCTTACGCTCGGGAAGTAAAAAGAAGATATAGGTTATGTATGGAAATACTTGATGTAAATTTCTTAAAATGAATAAGTGTATGCTACCGACATTAGTTGAGTATACGCCTGGTAGTTGGTAGATGGTGGAAGATAAAATTAATTCAGTGAAGTGTAAACAGTTTTCTTTGTCTTGAAGATTTAACTTAGATTTGATTAAAAATCAAAACAAAATTATTTTGCATCCAAAAATTTAATGTTCATTTTTTTCGATTTGTCATACGGTTTCTACTCGTGAAACAAATAGTATATTAACCACGTTTGTGAAGCCAATTCTAGACTCGCGCTTTAGAGCCCTGGACGTTGCGTGTCTCGGAGTCTAATTTGCGCTCGGTCTAGAATCATTGTCTTCACAACCTTGGTTAATAATATATTTTTATCATTCTTCCTCCTCATACAATTTCTGTAAATGTCTATTTAGAGTAACAACTCCATCCAAGAACATACAAACTTTCTACGTTCGTAGTTTAGAGTTCTCGTATGAAAAAAAAAAATGGTAATAAACTCTTCGATTGTTTTTTTTTTTCAAACTAGAACTTAATTAGTACTGAATTAATTTATAGGAGTAACTTGCATGCTGGTACGGCCAGTGTTACTTACCGAATCAATAAATATCTGTGCTAAACTGTCTGGGTCTTCACTATTTTTTTTCATTAAGTTATAAAATGTTACTGCGTTTTCATAGATTTCTTCTATGTTTCCAAAAAGATAAGCAGTACGCCCAATAAGGTCCTGTGGTGTATTTTTATGTAAAAATGGCATATAGTCCTACGAAAAACGCAATTTAGATTGAAAACTCCTTAATCTTAATTTATTACTTTGACTACTTTCATCAGTCCAGCAATATAAGTTTTTTCTGTGCTTTTTATTTCTTCTAATAAATGATCTATCCTGGAAAACAAAATAAAATAGATTGTGTTTAACTTTTTTTTTAACTTTTACTTTTCTTTTTTTTCTGTTTCTGGGAAAGAATTTTCAACTGGTATATCAGAAATATCTTCGCATGTGGAGAAATTGCTCATGTTTTCATAGGTACGATCTATTTCGTCGTGTTCTGCTTCTTCTTCTTCTTCGTCCTCTATTTCCTTATTACTTGTGTTCTTGTCATAATGCTCAAAATAAAATGAGGATGGATGAGGTTCGTCACAAAGGATATCTTTCTCTGAACGTGAATCTGAATTCTGTATGAAACTGTTGTATAAGAACTTTGAAGGCTCAAACATATTTTCTTCCTTTTCATATTCGTTGATGACATTTTCATACATTGCACTTGAATTGCTACTGCTGCTACCGCTGCTGCTACTACTGCTGCTGCTGCTGCTACTGCTGCTCCTGCTGTCATAAATGTTTTCATGAAAAACATAATCCGAACGATTGATTAAATTCTGGACTTCTTCGTCAATTTCATTGTGTATCACAGTACGACGTTTTATATCTAAAGCAACAATTACAAGTTCAAAACCTTTTTTATTATAAGCTTCCGTTATAAAATTGTCATTCTCACTATCTTCAAACGTATTGACACCAAACATATCTTCAACTGTTTCTTCTTTATCTCGCCAGTGAACATTGTACGCGACTTCTTCTGTATCATCTGTTGTTTCTTGACTGGATCCTGATTGTTCGCAAATATCATATGGATGTTCTGATATCTGTACGTGTTGTCTTTTGTGTTTAAGTAATTCACCAAATTCTTCTACCTTCTTTTCAATCTCTTGTTTAGATTCTTCCAAAAATTTTTGCTTAATAGAATTAACAATGCTGACACTTTTGACAGAGTCACGTTCTACCTCATTTATACTGTTAGTCACTTTTCTGTAAATCTTTCTTTCGTTTGTCATAGTAGTACTTTTGGCGTTTTTAAAATTTTTGGGCAGTGTCTGGTATTTTATTTCTGTACTAATATTTTCTGTTGTCAATTTTTGTTTATTTGCAGGTCGTTTTATATCTGTCAGTTCTGCGACGAGCCGTTTCACTTTACTTGAGTGGTTTTCGTGCAGAGACTTACTCTTATTTCTCGATAACTTGACTGTTCTGGAGTCCATAGTGCTACCTTTATTTTCGAAGTGCGAAATTAAGGCAGATACTGAAGACATAGGTCTCCCTCAAATTTATTCTTCTGTCGTAAATTTAACACATTATCTTTTCACACGACGTACAACCGAAACACACCAGCACAAATATGTCTGACGCGATAAGATAAGATTACCTACATATATTTAAAAAGTACGTTTTGCGTGCCGACTAAAGATTACATTTATTCGAACTGAACTGCGAAATCATTCAATGATTAAAAAAATTACTCATTATAAGTATGCTAGGCTTAAAACTGCAAATGTAATACGAAATGTGTTAACTTGTCGTTACTTATCTGATAAGTACATGAAGTATTAGTTTAAAACATAATATTTGTGATCTATTTCTTCGAAACGTATTTTTTTATAATAATTAATCGAAGTAATAGAAAATTCAAGAGGGTGCACTACGGTGCAGGTCGAGTTTGGCAGTAGCACAAACTAGTTTGAAGGAGGAGAATCACTTCTAGGCATGTAAGAGCTTGTCGAATATACCATGCAATTCTTTTAATTTCAAATCAAGGTAGGCTAACAGTTTAGAAATATAATGCGCATGCGGGGTGCGTACACCATATGTCGATGTCAAGTTAAATGCGGAGTCAAAAATATTGAATATAGGTAGGTATAGATAGAGTATATCGTCCATATTATCAAAGTGTGACCGCCATCTCCCCGGTGAGAGGAGTGAGGCGCGAGAGGTTTATTCCACCGCAGTACAATACCTGACGTGTTTCAGTTTCATACAATTTCAAGAAAAACAAAAAAATATTGATTTTTAAACAAAATGCGCTTAATACACTTCCCACACGTTCTGGTCATCCACGAAAACCTAGAACAATGACAAAAAATATATTACAACTAATACACAGCAATAAAGTCTAGTTGCGCCACTGATTCGCTTATCCGTCCATTATTATCGAATGTGGACGAACACGATACGAACAGAAGAGAGAACTTGTATATGTGTGATACAAAACAATGAGCACTGTTGCACTGTGTTCCCTCTATACATATAAAACCTGTTTGTGCGAAATAGTGATATCTCACCTAAAAAACTGAACACGTTGAATACTGGTGTTATGAACGATATGAATTTTTTTCCAAAGCCTACCTAAAATCCGCATTTAAAGAATCGCACGTTATAATATCAAACACGATACATGTACTACAAATAAATGTAAATAATTAATTGTAAATCAGCGGTTACAACAAATATTTTTTCTTCATATATTGCAATAGCATAATTTTAAAAAAAGCTGGCCTTTGATATATGTAATTCTGGATTTTATTATTTGCTGTAATGTATAGTCGGAGAAGTCGAAAGTGGCAATCCTAATTTCATTTTTTTTTGTAGCGGATTACCATAAAAGTATTAACTTTTGTCAAGTAATGTTTATAATCCGTCTACTTAGGAATAAACATAAGCACGACAACGAGATGAAAATCAGTCAAACGAAGTGGCATTGAAAGTATTGTAAATTAATAACACCGAATGCTCTGTAATTTTGCAAACGTCTTAAGGTTATTCTAAGTATGGTAAATTGTCAAAAAAAATTTATGCGTTGATATCCCTCCAAAAAAATGACGTCAACTCAAAACTGTGCCAGCTGCAAAATTTTTTAGAATTACTTGTACAGGGTGGCAAACATTTAATAGTATGTGGCAGTCTGTTGTATCGCTGAAAGCAAGAATGGCTCACCCTATTTTCCCAAAAATTTGAATATGCAGTATTATTATTAGTGTTACACTTTACCTATTCAGAGTGATATACAGTCGGTGCACACATACATATAAAACTGGTACAGGTAATTTTTTTTTCAGTGTGTAGTAAGCTGATTAATTGTTAATCAATTGTCAACTACAATAAGTATAACAAGTGGTCTGATTTTTTCCGACAACATTTGTGACACAAATTACCGAGTAGCTGTTAAGGAGACGAGTGTGATTTTCCAACAGCAACAGCTACGAGTTAATTTTCACACAAATTTTGTAGAAAAAAATCAGATAACGAGTTATATTCGACTTGACAATCTAAAGAGAATTTTTTTTTCCAATTTCTACTAATAAAATGCTCATTTTGTATGTTAAATCTCGCTATTAAAACAATAGTTTAATCGAAAGGATGAATAAAATGTTTATAGCAACACTTTATTCACACTGTCATTGACAACACGAATAAAGTAAAAAAACTAAAAATTCGCACTACCACTGAAATTTTCGTTGGTATGGATAAAATTTGCAACGCTTGGTAGTCCACCTCCTGTGAAACAATCCTAATGAAAGTCCAGGGGCATCGTTTGAATTTGACCGTGGCGAAAGTACAGGCAGCTTAGGCAATTTACCTTCTTCAAATGTTCATCATATTAGTAATAGTACAATTCATATTTATGTATATGGATTACCTAAACAATATTTTTTTTTAAATTTTGCAAAATTGGAAAAAATCTTGTATGATACACGTGAATAAACGAATTTTATCCACTCAAAAACATTATCACACTTAGCTTCGCCTCGTGTGCTAAACTGTTTTTTCGTTGGATAAAATTCACTTTTATTCACTTATACCATAAATAGCTAATTTACTTTTTACGGACAATAATTCACATAATTAATAGTTAGCGTAGTAGTTGAGTAACCATACCTACCTACTCTAAATAGTAACAAAACAACAAGGCAAAATATAAATAAATTTCTAAACATGAAATTTACTGTGTGCTGCTGGTTGATTTTCTTAATTATGGCAGCAAGATTTGGTAACAAGACTGTGTTTTAAATTCGAAATGCAGTGAAAGAAAGTCAGTACCGAAACACTGCAAGAACGCAAGATGCAATTTGTAAGCAGTTTACAGAAGTTTGTGAAATACGGAAGTTTCCTCTAAATAAAGCTGTCGGAATGAACGAGATGGCCAGTATTTTGGAAGATTATGCCTTTAACGCCAACAGAAAATATGGATCTGAATATAAAGAAGCTACTCTTAAAACAATTTGGAATACTACTGCGAAATTGGTGGTATTTCAAAAAGTTTAATATAAAAATGGATCCTTTCATGGATATCGACTTTGAGAGTGCACGTAAAACCAGAGACTCCAGAAGAAAAAAGCTGCGAGCTATCCCGGAAAAAGGAAAATTAGTTCATGTGCTATTGACGAAGTAAATTAGAGGAAAATGATTAATCATTGGGACGAAGATACTCCTTTGCAGTTATAGAAAAAAATGTATTTCATTGCTGCAAAGGAATTAGCATGGGTGAAGGAGCTCATTGTCTTCTTCACTCTTTTAAACCCGAAGTTGATAGTTGTGGTAATCTAACTGGACGTTATGAATACAATCCAATTTTTTCCAAGACTCGGCAAGGGGGTGCAAGTCTGACACGTGAAAGTTTATGTTTATGTTTATGTTTACTTTATTTACGGAAAACTCCATTTTAAAAAAATATATATATAAACAAGGTAAACTAACAAAAGTAAATAATCATTTCCTACCATTACTACAAATACAAAATGATATAAAGAAGTAATAAAAACTATCAAACTGAATATAACAAAAAAGCTAAGCTAAAATAAAATAAAACTATAACTTATTATAATATAATGAAATCTGAGACCTAAACCGAGCTTTCGACAATTCAAAAACAGAAATTTCAGATCGATTTGAATATTCGTTAGCAGCTTTCATCATTCTTTTCAGCGGATGGTAATGGGCTAGAGTTGTACTTGACGTTGGAACCCTGAAAATGTTTTTACTGCGTGTTATCGGGCTACTTATTACAGGCAACAAGAAGGATAATTTTCCTAACAAATATGGTTGATCAATATGCCCATTGATAATGCCGTGAAAAAAGCAGGCATCAGCAATCAATCTTCGCCTAAATAATGACTGAATATCTAACATGTTCATTATCCAGTTGTAACTATCCTTAACATGTCGATGCCCAGATTTGAATTCCATAGTGCGAAGAAATTTTTTTTGGATTTTTTCTAACCTTTCTGAGTCTACCTTATAAATCGGGGACCATACAGGAGAACAATAATCAAAATTCGACCGAACAAATGAACAATAAAGAGATTTCAATGCTGAGGATGAAAGATCGCTAGAATGACGCCAAATAAATCCCCACATGTTTAAAACTTTTTTAATAACAAAAGAGTAATGATTTTTAAACGAAAGGGAGGTGTCAAAAATCACTCCTAAATCCTTTATTTCTGAGACACGTGTAACACTATGGTTTTCTAAATGGTAATCATAAATAGTGTGTATTTTCGTTGTAAAAAATGAAATTACCTGACATTTATTAATATTCAGAAGCAACCAGTTTTTGTCGCACCAGTCAAATAGTACATTAAGGTCCATCTGAAGTTGTTCAGCATCTTGAACCGAATTTACAGATTTAAATAATTTTAAATCATCTGCATACAACAAATAATTAGAATAACGGAAGCCACAAGTCAAATCATTTATAAATAACAAAAAAAGAACAGGTCCACAGTGTGTGCCTTGAGGAACACCAGATGTGACGCAAAAAGGAGTCGAATTGTAATTCCCAATGCGAACTTGTTGAGATCTGCCAATCAAAAATTAAGATAACCACCAAACCGTTTTGTCATTGAAGCCTAATCTGTGTAATTTCATAATAAGTAAACGATGATTCACACGATCAAAAGCTTTCTCGAAGTCCGTATACACAGAGTCAACTTGAAACCGATTAGCGAGTGCTTCATTTAGGAACGTCTGATATTCAGTAAGATTGGACAATGTTGAACTACCAGGGCAAAAACCATGTTGTTTATAACAAATTACCGACCCGGATGCCCATTGCAACTGGGTAGTTACAATAGAATCAAGCATCTTAGGAATAACAGATTGATTACAGACACCTCTGTAGTTGTTGATTTTATCTCGCTGCCCCGATTTAAATATAGGCGCAATATAACTTCTTTTCCACAGTTTCGGAAAAACACCTTCATTTAACGAACTTTTGAATAGAGTGAACAAAGGTCTACACAATGTATATATACAATTTTTAAGGACTATACTCGGAACACCATCTGGACCCGAACTACAAGACGACTTCAAGTTAGAAATATGCGTAAAAACATCAAGGAGATTAATAGTTAGACCGGCTTCATTAACTTGACTAACAGAA